ATATGGGATCCGAACCCGTGGCCTTGGTGTTATCAGCACCGCACTCTACCGAGTGAGCCACAGGCCGGCCCCTCTTCATACAATTTTGCAGCCTGCTTTTTTCATGTCGATCATATATTGGGGGCGCCCTCCCACGTCATCACGTCTCTGCTTTCTTCTTACACGGCCACGTGGGTTTCCATTCCGAGGTTGTGCACGCTTTACCTCCTCGCTGCCAGCCTTGCTGCATGGGGCTTTCAGTCCTCATGTGGTGGTCTTTGCGTACATTTAGCTAGCTTTCCAGGCTTGATCTCTTACCTGTTTGGTAAAACAGCCTTTGAGACTGGATCTCACTTGAAGAAAGGGTTCCACAACTGAAATGTTTGAAAAATCATTTCTTGGAGAGCACTCTTGTACAGATGGGGAAACTGAGTCCCAGAGAAGGAAAAAAGCTGCCTGAGGATCACATAGGTGGGCTGATCCCAGGTGTGTGACTCAGGCCAGTCCACCCAGACTTTGCCCTGGCCCTGCCTGGGGGTCCCTGCCTGTCTCCTACCCTCAAGGGCTGTGCCACTGGTGTCTGGTGGGCTGGTTTCTAGGCCTATCTCTGACTTGCTGAGCAGCCCTGACTTTCCGTGGGTCTCAGTTTCCCTGTCTGTACAATGGAATTAAGCATCACTCCCCTAGGAGCTTGCTGTGAGGTCAAGAACTTAGCGTCAAGGGCCGGCCTATGGCTCACTCGGGAGAGTGCGGTGCTGATAACACCAAGGCCACGGGTTCGGATCCCATATAGGGATGGCCGGTTTGCTCACTTGGGAGAGCGTGGTGCTGACAACACCAAGTCAAGGGTTAAGATCCCCTTACCGGTCATCATTAAAAAAAAAAAAAAGAACTTAGCGTCAAGTCTGCCCTTGGAAGGTCCCATTTTCCAGATGGGAAGCTTGAGGTACAGACCCTAATCACAGCGGTGGGGACCCTCCGTCTTGTCTGGACCAAAACGCAGTCTGGGAGACCAGGGCTCTGATGCTTCCTCTCACCTGGTCCCTGTCTCTCCGCAGAGTGCGTCGCCTTCGCCCCCTGAGAGTCTGGTGGAAGAGGAACGACCGAGTGGCCCAGGAGGCAACGGGAAGCAGAGAGCAGAGGACAAGGATCTTTCAGGACCTTATGTGAGTGGGGGGCAAGCGGAGGGCAGGGGTGGGCAGACATGGCCCAGACAGGCCCCCAGCCTGGCCTCTCGGAGCCTTCCAGGGCCCAGCTCTGTCCGTGACTCTCTCCCTCCAGAGCCTTCCCTAGCTCCCTGTTGCTCATGGAACACTGTCTGATCAGCACTGTGGTGCCAGGCTTAACTTTGCTTGCTCTACGTGTCAGTAGCCTCCGGACCATGCAGCCAGTTCCCCACCGTCTGGCTCTTGCTCTGGCTATTTCCTCCCTCTAGAGTCCTCCTCGCCCTGCCTCTCAGAAACCAGTTCCTCTGTCAAGGCACTAAATGCTGTCTCCTGCAGGAAGCCTTCCCTGACCTCCTCCCAGAGGGCTGGGACCTCCTTTCTTTACAAGATTGCTGCACACCTGTAGCTTCAAACTGTAGCGCCCCAGGGGCCAGCGTGAAAGCGGGGGCCCTCGTCCCGTCTACAGGCTGCAACCTGGTCCCAGCTGACTGGCGGGCTTAATGTTGGCTGATCTTGCTGTTTCTCAGAGAAGCTTTAAATCTTTCCTTCTACATAACAGCCTGTTTTGTAAATGGTGGCATCTAATTTTCATTTAAAGAAAACTGGTCATGGGGTAGGGGTTAAAGAAAGCCCACCTGCTGGGCACATTTGGCTTCCAGGCTGCAATTTTTTTTTTTTTCCAAAGATGACCAGTAAGGGGATCTTAACCCTTGACTTGGTGTTGTCAGCACCACGCTCTCCCAAGTGAGCAAACCGGCCATCCCTATATGGGATCCGAACCCGTGGCCTTGGTGTTATCAGCACCACACTCTCCTGAGTGAGCCACGGGCCGGCCCTGAGGCTGTAATTTTTGGTCTTCCCTTGGATTCCAGCCAAACTAGAGGGTCCCTGAGGGCAGCCCCATGTGTCAATATTCCATCCCACTCATCCCCCTCCCCGCTGGGGTCCCCAGGATACTGTTGTCTGCATCAGTGAATGGAGCAGGAAGCTGGTCTTCCTCTCCAGGGCAATAGGGAGCCATAGAAAGATGTAGAGCAGAGGTGCGGATAAGTCTTAGGAAAACCTCTCTGGGGACAGCTTGAAGGGCTACCTGGAAGGGGCAAGGCTGGAGGCCAGGAGCCCAAGGAAGGGGCGGGAGGGGATGAGGTCTGAGCTGGGACTGTGGGATGGGGGGCGGGGTGGGCAGACAGATGGGTGAGACAGACAGGCCTGAGAGATTGATCGACTTAGTGGGGCGAGAGTGCAGAAGGAGGTGAGGCTGCCTCCTGGTCTCTGGCCCTCCCATCATACAGGGGAGTAAACTGAGGCCCGCAGAGGTCTGGGAGTTGCTCAGGGACACTCAGTTCCATCACCTTCGCCCCTCTGCATGAGGGACCCACCAGCTCTCCTGGGTCCTCCCTGGGACCGGGCACCTGCAGCCTCCCTTCCAAACCCAGCAAATGGGCTGCTGGACTTTGAGAATCCTAATCAAACCCGAGGCCCTGCTTCCCCTCCCTAGTGTGTCAGGGGGCGTGGAGGCAGGGGCATGCCCAGGATGGGCTCTCTCCCCATCCCCCCCCAGGACAGTGAGGAGGACGAGAGTGACTACAATCTGGTGGTGGACGAGGTGAGTCCGGGGGTCCAGCCTCCACTCCCTCTGGGCCTGGAACAAGAGGTGGGTTTTCTGGAAGGGGAGGCCCAGAAGAAATGGGGATCCTGGCCTGCTCTCTGCGAGATGGCTGGGATGGGGACACTGTGGGGCCAGGAAGTGGGGGACACCTGGACACTTCCAGCCACCCTCCTCTCCATAGCACAGGTGGGAAAACTTAGGCCCAGAGAACCTGAAAAAGGGCAGAAGCGACTCCCCTGTCTCTGGCCTCACTTTTCCCCATCTGCCCAATGGAGAAACAAAACCGAGCCCTTTTTAAATGGGCTGGCTGGTAAAGGGATCTGAACCCCTGACCTTTGTGCGATAAGGCTGTGTGCTAACCGGCCAGCCCAAAACCAAGCCCTTCTATCATCGTCGCTATGTGTGCTTATGGAGTAGGTCTTATTAAGCCCATTTTACAGATGAGTAAACTGAGGCACCTGGAGGTTTCATAATCCTCCCAAGGGGGGGTCGTAGGTCCAGAGGTTGGGGTGGGAATTGGGAGGAGTATAGAGAGGGGCTCTCCTTCCCCTCTCACTTCATCCCCACCCAATGACACCTCCTTGAACCCAGGACCAACCCTCCAAGCCCCCCAGCCCAGCTACCACTCCCGGTGGAAAGGGGCCCATCTGCGTCCCTGCCCGTCGGGAACACGTGGACAGTCCAGCCTCCTTGGCCTCTAGCCTTGGCTCACCGCTCCCCAGAGCCAAGGAACTCATACTGGTAAGGAGTAGAGGAGGGACTTGAAACTCACATTATTCATCTGGGGGGCCTAGAAACAGATGCTACCACATTAGACATGGAGGATAAGAAATCAGGCAGGTGTGTTGTCCACCATTTCCTCGTCATTTTCTTTGCTGGTTAGTTTTTCCTATGTCAACGACTCACTTTGTTGAACTTAAAAAAAATACTAAAAGATGGGGCTAGCCGGTCAGCTCAGCTGGTTGTAGCACTGTGTGATAGCACCAAGGTCCAGGGTTCGAATCCCCATACCGGCCAGCCACCAAAAAATAAATAAAAGGCAATTTTGTAAATATACTTTGTACATAAATATTAAAAGGCAACGCACCACCTTACATGGAAACCAAGTATGTCTTGCAATACATAGGAAATCCCAAGGAAATAAACATGGTGAAAAGCCAAGCTACAGCACCGGGGACTAGCAGGCTGGATGCCAGGCCTGCAAGTGTTAGGGCCTTCCAGAGGCGTTGAGAGACTCACCAGCTCCAACCTGAGACGTTGTCCCGGAAAGGAAAGATAATATAGGAGCAACTGTCCCATTGCATCTCCCGCCCTTTCGTGCCAAGTGTACAGACCATCTAAAGTACCCCCTGGGCATTTGCATTTCAGCTCCATGTGTGGTTACCCCCCTCCCCAAATCTTCCCCGGACCCCTGCCCTGCACTTACCTGGGAAGACTATGTCGGTTTCTAGGCCTCCCCTCCCGGCTGGTTGTCATGGCAACCGCAGGAGGTTGGGGCTCCCCTTCCCTCTTAAGTGCCCTCCTCCCACTCCAGGGAGACCTTCAGGGGGGATCGGGCAGCTCCGTTCTGCTGGAGAAGCCTCCCTCCCCGAGTCCTCCCTGACCCCACGGCTGTCCCTTCCGCTCCTTCCTGTGGGTGTGTGTGCGTGGCTGTCACAGTTTGTGTGACTACACGATGGGAAGAGAGACAGACACCAGAGGAGGAGGCAAAGTTCCCCGAAAGGCAGAGGAGGTGAGGACGTAAAGCCCAGATAACAGCGTGCTCCCAGATGGGGGTCTGGCTGCCCCTTTCCTCGAGTCTCCCTTTGGGGAGGGACACCCTCCTCCCCACAGGGACAAGGCGCTCATCCCTTAGCTGTGGGGTCTCCTGCTGCGTGAGCCCATCCCAGAGTTTCCAATACGTTGTCCCCCAAGGATCTTGACAGTTTCTTTTTTTTGGTGGCTGGCTGGTCCAGGGCTCGAACCCTGTACCTCGGTGTTGTCAGCACCACACTCTCACCGGCTGAGCTCACCGGCCAGCCCCATTCCTATCGTCACTATGCTCTTTATTGGGTGCACGCTCGGCTCCCATAAGGGAGGTGTGTGTCGGTTCTGCCCTGTGCACAGACCCTGCGCGCCCATCCTGCCTGGCATCCCCATATGTGCGGACACACATGTCCCCTTGCTCAGGTGACCGGAAGTGGGGCTCACCCCCCCCGGCACGTGCATACTGCACACCTGCAAGCACCTCCTGTGCGCACCCACCTGTCTCAGGTGTACTGCACCAAGTGCCCCATATGTGCGGACACACATGTCCCCTTGCTCAGGTGACCGGAAGTGGGGCTCACCCCCCCGGCACGTGCATACTGCACACCTGCAAGCACCTCCTGTGCGCACCCACCTGTCTCAGGTGTACTGCCCCAAGTTCTGGTGGCGTTCAGTCCTGCCCTTCCTCCGCAGAACGACCTTCCCACCAGCACTCCTGCCTCCAAGTCCTGCGACTCCTCCCCGCCGCAGGACGCGTCCACCCCTGGGCCCAGCTCGGCCACTCACCTCTGCCAGCTCACGGCCAAGCCAGCGCCTGCCACAGATAGTATCGGTGAGTACCCTGCATCTGGTGCCTGCCAGAGTGGGCCTCTCCAGGAGTTTCCAGGAAATGGTAGGGTTTGGGGAGGCAGGAGGTTTGGATTCCAGCCCTGACCTTCATAGCTTTGGCCCTTTTCATGATGCTGCCTCGCTCTGGGCCTCATTGTCTCGGCTTGACAGGTAGGGAAACTGAGGCCCAGAGAGTGGAAGTGACTTACTCGGGGGCTTCAGCCCAGTACACTGGAAAGACAAGCTTTGGAGTCAGGCAGACCTGGGTTTCAGGCCAGTCTTGGGCACTGCCCTGCTGAGCCCAACCTCTCTGAGAGTCAGATTCCCCGTTAGTAATCTGGGGGGTGACAGTGTTCATGTTTTCTGTCTGTGGCCAGGCCCTGTGCTGGTTCTGGGCCCCCCGAAAGAACTCGGCCTTGAAGTGCGCCCTCAAGGAGTTTCTAGATGGTGAGGGAAGGGACCCAGACCCCAAAACTCCCAGCCTTGTGTGATCAAGGCTGGGGTAGAAGGAGGGACCCAAGGTGGGCAAGGCTGGAGGTTGGGGGTGGGGAGGCTCAGTGATGTTCCTGAGATGTCGATGGGCACTGGGTCTGGGTTTTGAAGGGTGAGTAGGAGTTCACCAATTAAAGGAAAGGGAAAGGCACGTTGGCCCGAGGAACAATGTGTGCGGAGGTCTGAAGGTGTCCCGGGGTGTGGCCAATGTGGGACCAGAGTGTTCACTGAGTGAGAGGCCGGGCAGCTCCCAAGGCAGTGGGAGGCAGGATCTGGGAGGGCGTCTGAAGCCCTGTCCTTGACTCTTCTTGTTTAGCCCTGAGGAGCCCCCTGACTCTGTCCAGTCCCTTCACCACGTCCTTCAGTCTGGGCTCCCACAGCACCCTCAACGGAGACCTCTCCGTGCCCAGCTCCTATGTCAGCCTCCACCTGTCCCCCCAGGTCAGCAGCTCTATGGTGTATGGACGCTCGCCCATGGTGAGTCCTCAGGGTGTGGGCCCTGGGAAGTGTCCACAGGGACAAGGGACTGGGGGCCAGGAGGAGAAACCAACTATACAAGGAGAGACAAGTGGGTGGAGGAAAGGGAGGACAAGTGTGTGTGGAAGACGATCTGAGGGTCGCAGTGGCCCCACCACCTTAATACAAATCGCGTCTGTGACTATGGAAAAAGCAGCTGTAATTAAGCTGTATTTTAAGTGGGCCTCCGGGCCCTGGGAGGTTACTTATAAAAACAGGCAGTGGGCTGGATTCGTCCCGGTGGCTATAGTTTGTAGACCCCTGTTTTAGAATGAGTCTGAGCACTGGACAGAGGACTTTTCAGGATCCTACCAACCCTGGGATTGTAGGATTCCCTGGACAGAGATTTTGGGGATCACTCAAGTGAAAACCTCAGTTCTCCCATCTGTAGTATGGGTAGAGAAGAGAGCATCTCTGCTTCCTTGGGGATGGGCTGATAAACAGATGGAGAGTCCTGAGCCCTCTGCCCTGTGATCCCCTCTCTGGCATTTTGGCAGATGGCATTTGAGTCACACCCACATCTCCGAGGGTCATCCCTCTCGGCCTCCCTGCCCAGCATCCCTGGGGGAAAGCCGTGAGTACCAGAATGGGGCTCCCTGCCTGGGGCCCCGGCCCAGTCTCCTGCTCCTTTGAGGTGCTTACATTGTGTGGGGTGGAGGCTGGGGTTTCCTTCTGCCCTTCCAGATCCAGAAAGTCTCTTCTGTTAGATCATTGGCGTTCCCAGGGGAGCCTGGAGGAAAAAGTGACCTAAAGAGCAAAGTCTAGGCCAACAGGTTCTCAACGGGGGTAGATTTGGCTCCTCCCCGCCCCCAGGGGAAATGTCTCCAGGCGATGTCTGGAGACATTTTTGGGTGACACAGCTGGAGAAGGGGTGCCCTGGTGTGGAGTGGGTGGAGGCTGGGGACGCTGCTCACAGCCTGCAGTGCCCAGGACGGACAGCTCCACCACAGAGAATGATCTGGCCCCAAGTATCAATAGAATTTTCTGCAGTGATAGGAATGTTCTAGACCTACTGCTGTTCGATCTGGTTGCCACCAGCCACTTGTGGCTTTTGAGCACCTGAAATGTGGCCAGTGCAACTGAGGAGCTGAACATTTTAAATGTATTTAATTTCAGTTCATTTAAGTTTAACTGGCCGCATGTGGCCGGGGTAGGATTGGGCAGCCCTCTCTAGAAGCTCTGGAGCTCTCCACAAGCATTTAAGTGCCTGCTTACCGGGCACCAGGCCACGACCCAGATGCCTTGTACCATGTGCTCACCACCCCACGTCACCTGTGGCCATGTGGTCACCTTTTCCTAAACGCATCAGAGGGCACAGGCAGGACCGAGGTGCCTCCCTACCCTCCAAGGTGAGGGTGCGGAAGGGCCGACCCCCGAGGGCCGGGTCAAGCCCCCACCTCCCTTGCAGGGCCTACTCCTTCCACGTGTCTGCAGACGGGCAGATGCAGCCGGTCCCCTTTCCTTCGGACGCGCTGGTGGGCGCGGGCATCCCACGACATGCCCGGCAGCTGCACACGCTGGCACACGGAGAGGTGGTCTGCGCGGTCACCATCAGTGGCTCCACACAGCACGTGTACACGGGTGGCAAAGGCTGTGTGAAGGTGTGGGACGTGGGCCAGCCCGGCGCCAAGACGCCTGTGGCCCAGCTGGACTGCCTGGTGAGGGTGGGGCGGGGCCTGCAGGGCCAAGGGGTGTGGCTTATAGTAGAACTGGGGTGGGATTTATAGGCTAAGGGGGCGGGGGTTCTTGGCCAGGGGCGGGGTTTGCAGGCCCAAGGAGGTGGGGCGTACTGTAAAACCAGGGCGGGGCTTGCAGGTCAACCAGGGATAGGACTTGCAGGCCAACTGGGAGTGGGGTTTATAGGGCAAAGGGTGGAGCTTGCACGTCAAAAGGATGTAGCTTATGGTAGGGCTGGGGAAGGGCTTATAGGCTAAAGGGGCGGGACTTAAAATAAAACCAGAGCAGGGCTTGCAAGCTAGTCGGGGTGGGGCTACTTTGGGCTTGGGAGACCTGACATTGGGCTGGGGTCCTGGAGATGTGTGGCCCAGAACCAACCGCAGCCCTCGCTTGCCTCCTGGCCCCAGAACCGGGACAACTACATTCGCTCCTGCAAGCTGCTGCCCGATGGCCGGAGTCTGATCGTGGGTGGCGAGGCCAGCACCTTGTCCATTTGGGACCTGGCAGCACCCACCCCACGCATCAAGGCCGAGCTGACCTCCTCTGCCCCTGCCTGCTACGCGCTGGCGGTCAGCCCTGACGCCAAGGTCTGCTTTTCCTGCTGTAGCGATGGCAACATTGTGGTCTGGGACCTGCAGAACCAGACCATGGTCAGGTGGGTGGTGGGTGCCCTGTGACCTTGGGCAAGTCTCTGCCCGCCTTCTGTGCAGTGGGGGCGGAGGAGTGGCCTGGGAGGATGCTGGAGCAGCCCCAACTCCGGGATGGACGTGTGGGCCCTTCTCTCTCTAGGCAGTTCCAGGGCCACACGGATGGTGCCAGCTGTATCGACATATCCGATTACGGCACCCGGCTCTGGACTGGGGGCCTGGACAACACTGTGCGCTGCTGGGACCTGCGGGAGGGCCGCCAGCTGCAGCAGCATGACTTCAGCTCCCAGGTGCTGCTCGGGGTCTGCTGGGAGGGGGATGGAAGCTCCAGGAATCCAACATCCCTTCCTCTCTCCAGAGGCACCCACTTCCTGATGCAGGACAGGACTGATATCTGCAATTTGTGTCCATCTTTCTGAACAAATCCACAGGCCTTCCTCATTAATTCTCCAAAGACGCAGGGAAACACAAAAGACCTGATTCCTGTTAAGCTGTGGGGCCACTAAGACCCTCAGATCATCTTCCCACAGCTCTTGTCCAGCCATTCCCCCATTTCCTTGTCTTTCCTTGTGTAGCTGGTTTCTTCTCCCAGTCCTTAACCTCTGGACTCCATTGAGAGCTCCTGACTCCCCCCCCACCCCCCCCACTGAGGACTCTCCATGAGGGAGCTGCTGACTTGCGGGGGACAGGTGGAGGCTGATGCAGGAGCTGGGCCTGGAGATATCTCTGTTGAGGGCAGTGTGAGAGTCCAGGGTGAAGGACGTGGTGAAGGGGCTGGACAAAGCAGGGGACTCCTTAGGGCTGGTGTTCAGGTACCATGAACCCAGATTCAGCCTCTCACTGCTTTGGGGGCAGGGTGCAAGCTCCTCGGCCTGTCATTCAGAGTTCCCATGCGTCCATCTCACAGACCGTACCCTGGGACGCCTTGAGACCTCTGTATCTATGTTCCTTCTGGCTGAAATACCTTTCCTTTTCTCCAAGTGGTGAACTCCTACTCATCCTTCAAAACCCATCTCCAATTTGCACCTCCCACCCCCTTGAAACCTGTGGAGAACTGGCTCCCAAGCTCTTTTTATTTTTTTAAAAAGATGACCGGTAAGGGGATCTTAACCCTTGACTTGGTGTTATCAGCACCGCGCTCACCCAAGTGAGCCACGGGCCGGCCCCCCCAAGCTCGTTTTTTATCCTGCTTTTCTCCGTAGCTTGAGGACTTCTTTGCTAGGGAAATCAGGAGTGCAGGTGGACGTAGCTGCCTATCCTGTGACCCTGAGGCTTAGGGGAGCTGTGTGCATTTCTGGGGATCCCATAGTGCATATCTCCTGTCCCACTGGGTGTTCCCAGCCCTGTGTTTATACAGGAACACCTGTATACGGCCAGGAAAGAGCATTTGAAACCTTGCAGTCTTCTCTCCTCTGTAAACTCGGGATTATTTCTGTACATGTCTTATTTGTTAGTAAGACTTCGAGAGGTTTAGGGCGGAACAGGGTCTAATTCCTCTCTGTGCCTAGGATGGGTGGGGCACAGAATGACAAGGACACCGCATCCTTTCAAATCTAACCAAAATTTTTCAGTAATAGGTCACACATTTCCACTAAAGGGGATGGAGGGGGTTGCAATCCACGAGAGAAGCTGAAGTTCAGTTGTCAGAAGAATTTTTTGATCCAAAATTTTACCTGTGAATTTTGTTGCTCTGTTTCCTGAAAACAACTCGGAGATGCTCCTGGTTTGTTCATCTGCCGCTTTGATGCCTGGGATTCCACCCATTCTTTCCCTTTAAGCAGAAACAAGTAATTGTTGCAAAGGTCTCTGTATTTTGCAGCTGCCTGTTATAAAAGCACTTTTCCCAAATAAAATATTTAAAAAAAAAAAAAAATCTAAGCATGGCCGGCCCAGTGGCGCACTGGAGAGTGCACCGCTTGGGAGCGCGGCGGCGCTCCCGCCAAGGGTTCGGATCCCATGTGGAGACTGGTTCCCGCTCACTGGCTGAGTGCGGTGTGGGCACGACACCGAGGGTTGCGATCCCGTTGCCGGTCCCCGGTACGGGCGCAACACCGAGGGTTGCGATCCCGTTGCCGGTCAGTAAAAAAGACAAAAAGGAAAAAAAAAAATCTAAGCAAAAGGAAGTGTTGGCAAGTGGGGAAGATTCCAAGCTGGGAGTCAGAAGTCTGGGCTCCCAGGCCTGGCCTTTGACAGACTTGTCTGACCTTGAGCAGACATGGCCTCAGTTTCCACCACTCGCTTGTCATGGCCTCCTCCAACCTCCCTCCCAGCATGGAGATGCGCTCAGGCCAGATAATGGGTGTGCTGCGGGGGTCCTGTGTAATTCTGATTAATATTAACAAATCGACATGCCCTTGCCTGCTGCGTCCTGGGCGCTACACTGGCTGCCTGTCTCCGTGGGGGCTGACGTGGGACATCCCCCAACATCCAAAGGGCTCTGTGATCCCATTGCTTCTCTCTTTTCCCCCAGATTTTCTCCCTGGGCCACTGCCCCAACCAGGACTGGCTGGCCGTGGGCATGGAGAGCAGCAATGTGGAGATTTTGCACGTCCGCAAGCCGGAGAAGTACCAGCTTCACCTGCACGAGAGCTGCGTGCTGTCCCTGAAGTTTGCCTCCTGCGGTGCGTCTTCTCCAAGGTGGGGTGGGACTCCAGGGTACCGGGCAGGCCTAGCCCCCCAAAAATCAAAAACCAGGATGCCCAGTTACGTTTGGATCTTAGGTAAACAGTAAATCATTTGTCAGTACATGTATATCCTGGATATTTCGTGGTGTTACAAGGCTGCCCTCTAACCAACTGAGCTAACTGGCTGGACCTCTTCGTTTCTTTTTTTTTTTTTTGGCAGCTGGCTGGTATAGGGAATCCGAACCCTTGACTTTGGTGTCACAACGTAGTGCTGTAACTGCCTGAGCTAACCGGCCAACACTGTGTGGGACATACTCATAGTAAAAAGCAGATAATTTGTTAGCACAACTACATCCCAGATATTGCTGGGACATCCTTACATGAAAAAGCAAGTAATTTGTTAGTGCAAGTATATCCCACCTATTGCACAGAATAAACATATTAAAAAGCAAATAGTGGGCCGGCCCGGTGGCGCACTGGAGAGTGCACCGCTTGGGAGTGTGGCGGTGCTCCCGCCGAGGGTTCGGATCCCATGTGGAGACCGGTTCCCGCTCACTGGCTGAGCGTGGTGCGGGCGCAACACCGAGGGTTGCAATCCCGTTGCCAGTCCCCGGTACGGGCGCAACACCAAGGGTTGCAATCCCGTTACCAGTCAGTAAAAAAGAGACAAAAAGGAAAAAAAAAAAAAAAAGCAAATAGTGAAATTCATGAGACACACCTGTACTAAAAATTATTTGTGGTTTTTCCTTTTAAAAATTTTTTGGGGCCGGCCCGGTGGCGCACTGGATAGTGCGCCGCTTGGGAAGCGTGGCGGTGCTCCCGCCGAGGGTTCGGATCCCATGTGGAGACCGGTTCCCGCTCACTGGCTGAGCGTGGTGCGGGCGCAACACCGAGGGTTGCAATCCCGTTGCCAGTCCCCGGTACGGGCGCAACACCAAGGGTTGCAATCCCGTTACCAGTCAGTAAAAAAGAGAAAAAAAGGAAAAAAAAAAAAAAAAAAA